TAGCTCACCCCTCCAGGTCCCATCTACCCTCCCTTGCTGGGCTGGGGAGACCAGGACCACTGCTCTGCACATCAGGGTTCTCCAGCCAGAACATGGGCACGGCGGGGTCAGCTGTAGCCAAGCACTGCATTGATAACCGAACTCCTGCATTTCCTTAGGGAAAAGCAGTCAGCTGAGTCACTCTTGCTTGTAGGAGCATAACTGCCTTGAAGATTCTACCCTTCTTTAATTCAGTTAACCAACAGGTGCAGCACAATACGACAAGTTTAGTCTCCCTAGACAAGCAGAATAACAATTTCTTCCATTACTGGAAAACAGCAATTTTGAAAGGGCATGAACTCATAAAAGATACCTGACATGCTAAAAACCAAACTCTCCCCCACAGCCAGGTTTCAGGCACCTTTTCCAAGGTCTTCTCCAAACCTCTGCTCCCCTTTCTAAGAACCACATGCTCCAGACCTAAGCCTGTGTGACACTGGGAGGGACACAGCCTTCCACCTTCCTCAGGTTTTGGTACAATCAGTCAATCAGCACAAGACTGATGCTCCTGGCCATGACCCCTTTTCATGACTGATGCTGTGTGTTTCCAGGCACAGGTGGCTACAGTGAATGGTTCCCTTCAGCTCTGGCAAGACTAAACTGCATGGAAATTAGCAAATTGGTACTGCTGCATTAGCAAAACATGGCCTTTAAAACCTAAACCAATGGTCTAAATCTAAAGGTGAGCTTTTGGAGCACCATGAGGCTCTGGCAGGCCAGCTCTGGAAAGAGTTAAGCCTGTGCATCTTATCTTCAGAAACTCTGCTCACCTTGGAGTAGACCACATATTCAGGGCCAGTGCTGCCCATATCCTGGAAACTTAATTTAACAGTCATTTCTAAATAGCATTGCAGATATCATTTGAAGGTCACAGCACTGTCTGTCTGCCTGTGTCTTGCTTTGAGCAAACACTGACGGGCTGGTTAATTATTCAGATGCTTGGGGGGAAAAAAAAAAAAAAAGCAATTTACAGTAGATTTGAAAACCAGCCCCTCTTGCCAATTCAAGTCTGCTCCGACTTCAGTAAGAGCAGTTGGAGAGAGCTACAAACACTGCCAACGCGCTCTTCAAAGCCTTCCCTCCCCACAGCCTGAACAATTTGCTTGGATATCAACAAAATCACCCATCAGCCAGAACAGGAAACAGAATCACTAAAGCAGCATCCTTTTATCAGCACTGGCTTTAAGTTTATCTCCATGTTTTGCTGTCTCTCCATATGGCTGTTTCTTTAATAAAGGGAACGCTGTCAAAAGCTTGAGATAGTAAGCAATGAAATTAGTAAATGAAACAAATCCTGCACTAATGAGGAGAGAAACAAGTACAGGAATGGGAACTGCGTGTTGTCTCCTTGCTTACACTGCATTTGACCATGGGCCTTTATACGCTGCCTGAAAATCAGCTGACATTTCTCCAGTGAATCCTACTGAGAAGGTAAAGAATTAAAGCTTTGGGGTTTTTTTAAATAAACAAAACTGGGTCTCTTCTGCATTGCAGGCTCCAGTTGAATCTGATGGCAACTCACCCCTGGGAAGGTGGAAGGGGATCTACTCACCAGGCACCCTCCTGAAGAAGACAACACATCTGGCTGTATGACCACTGCTGGAAAACAGGCAGCAGTGAGCTCCGCCAGCAGCACAGGGCTCTGGATTAGGGAGGTCAAGGATCAGGTCAAAGGAGACAGGACCCCAAACTAGGACTGTCATGAGAAGAGGAAATCCCAAGAAAGGTTTTCGCTCTCCTCCCTCATTACAAGGCACCAGGAAACCACTGTTTGCCTCCCTGCGGTAGCACATGACAGTCCCAGCATGGTGCTTACGCAGGCAGAAGAAAGCTGCCACTGATTAACAAAAATTACACCCTAGGTCTGTCTTGTCTTTCCTGATCACACACACGTGATATGCAGCTGCCTTCTGTGAGGCCAAGAGATGTCATTCTTAGGAGCCAAATAAAAGTTCCCCAAGGAGACAGAGTGACAAAGAACAAGTAGGAAACGATCAAAGAAAGATGCTGTTTCCTCTCTGCCTTTCTGCAGGGAGAGCAAACACTTCCATTAACCAATACAACTCTTTTGCACTTGTCAATATGGAAAAAAAAATCAGACACTTAGGGAAACAGGAAAAGATGATGACAGTGGCAGCACGGAGGAGAAACAGCCACCTTTTTCAGCAGGTTGCATCAGTTCCCAGCTAAGCTGTAACAGCCCCTTCATGCTGACCTGTTCCTCCACTTTTTTCTACCCAAAAAGGAGCAAACTCTCCCCTTGCTGGATCCAGAGGATCCTCTAACAGGGCTGCCTGGCAGCTGGGAAAGCAATCTGACAAGGAGAAGCACATCAGACATGCAGAGGATTCAGCACAGGATGACACACTGGTCCCAGGGGTCACAGACCTGCAGACACCCTGGCACACAGGGATAAGCCAGCAGAGGACTAGGCCATGACATCCATACACTCCTCTTCAAACCCATAAAAGTCCCATCTCAATGCACAGCTTCGGAGGGGTTTTATTTCTTTCTTTATGGTGGCAGAGATGTTCAGTGCTACTCCCTGCAACTCACAGAACACAACAGACTCAACTCATCCAACAGAGAGAAGAGGAGACAGTATGGGGAAGCCTGTGCATGAGGGGTACTCCAGGTAATTCCTTAAGTCACCACCCCAAAGTGAAGTTATCCACAAAAAAGCATCTTGGCTTGCTCAGATAATGCTCTTTTCTCCCACAGAGCAAAAAGAAATCTTGACTTGACAGGAACAGCAATTTGCATGTGATGGTTGATACCACCACCAAGGTGGCACCATGGCCATCTGCATTACAGCATTTTCCTTTCCTGTTTCAAACAAGATACCAACCTTTTACTTGCCCTGTTGCTGCCCCTTAATTTAGTCTCATTCAGTTTGTTGAGCTGCCAGTCAGCGTGCTGTAGCATTGCTGATCCAATACCGCTGTGAAAATTTCAATCAATACCTCTTTCCTTTGAGCAGGGACCGTGATCTATAAGCCTAACTGCAAACAGCCACGGTTTCAAGATTAGCCATCAAATGGGAGACAGGGAAATCACAGCTCACCATCCTGCAGCAGTCTCCAAGCAGGAAATCAAAGCAGCAGCTTTGGCATCTTAGAGAACACAAGTTGAGTTCAGGGGCACAACTGGATGAAGGATGCCCAAGTCACTCACCAGCTAAGCTAAAGGACAGTATCTGCTCTCAGATGTACGTGTGCAGTTCTCCCTGAAGCCTGACTGCATCTCAAATTTTATCTCCAAAATTATTCAGTCCTCTCTTCTTCCCATCAACAAACTGCCAGGCAGCCTAACGCAGCAGGCAAAGGGAAAATCTTCAACTGAGGCAGCAAAGTAGCACCAAAGGAGGCAGCTGCTAAGGGCAGGGGAGCAGCTGGAGCACACCTCACCTGCCGCAGTGCTGCTCCCCCCCGGCAGCTCAGCACTGCCCTGTTGAAGAGTCTGAAGATCCCTTGTTGAAACGACTGATCCAGCAGGTTCTCAGGACCTGCTGCCTTTGACACCTCTGTGAGATCAGCAGCTGTCCTGAGAAGCTGAGGTGCTCATTATGGGGTAAGTCAAGCCTGTGGGGTCAGCAGGGGGGACTGTGGAGCAGCAGAGCCCATCCTTCCTGCAGGGAAAGAAACCATCCCTGAAACACCTTGTATTATTGTTCTATTTATTGATTAGCCACAATATTTGCAGAGATTGCAATGAAGCAGGACAGGATTTATTGCCTAGTCCCATACTTAGGGTCCTGAGATACCCTGTGAGCCCCCCTGGGTACACCACAAGCTGCCTAGGGAGGGAGGAAAGGCGTGAGACCAGGGCAGCAGTGCCTAAACAGCTCTGTGGGTCAGTGCCTGGTATGAGCATGCAAAACCCATCATTTATACACCAGTACCACCCATCCAAGGTGGCTTGCTCTCTGCAGAGATGGAAAGCAGGTTTTCATTGTAGAATCAAAGCAAGCTGCCCGGGGAATCCCCCACTTTGAGGTTACATTTATCCCCCCAGACAGATGGAAAAGTATCAAGAGGTAAAGTCAGCCTCCTCCTTGTGGCCCAGGAGGCTGAGCCTGTACTCTCACACACTGCCTGATGCTCCATCCACAGACACGACCAAATCCACAGTGGCAGGTCTGGGCTATCCAGCCCTGGAAGTTCAACCCACCTAGCATGGAAAAGAACAAACCTCCACCGAACCCTGTTTCAAGCCCCTCACAGATCCCCCCCTCCAGTGGGAAGCACACCCCACCCAGCTTCAGCACACCAGCCTGCCCTGGCTGCACCAGCCCTGCTCCCCCTGTCAGGGAGCAACCCAACCTCCCTCAGCTATGCAGCTTGTCACACTATGCGGCCTCCATGAATTAAAGAGCCTTTTTCTGCAGAAGAGTCTCCAGAGATGCTCTGCAGTGCGATGCGACGGAGTCCACAAACTCTGTAGGTACACAACCCTTACAAGCATATTTTTGTGCAACAACCCACCTGGTTTGACCCCCAGTAGGTGTGAAACTCACCTCACTGTGAGCAGTTTGAGGACAAACCTCACACCCTAGTCTCTATCATTAACAGCAATCTGACACAAAGCAAATGCAGATCTAACAGGGAAACCATAGGGAAATCCATGCCCTTTCAGGAGCAAAGGGCCACAGGGTTCTCTTGATCTCAGAGCTCCAAACCCATGACTTTTACAGCTAAATACCTTCCACAAAATAAAGGGAGGATTTGCAAAAATGATCCAGACTCATTTTTGCTCAAACATCTATGCAAATTCTGTTTTACTGAGGGCTCCCCCAACTAAAACTGCCCCCAGAACCAGGGGGTAGAATCCTCTTGCTGCACTGTGACAGAATACATTGCTTTCTCAATCACACAGTGATATGCAAATGGTGCATATAAAAGTCAAGTCACAGGTTGCTTGTAACTCACTTTTTGTTGGAAAACAGCCCCACAGATACTTACCATCTCTGCCCCAAAGGATGCAGAGATGACAGTCTGATTGGAGAGGTGGAGAGGTTGGGAAGCATCTTGTAGAACTTGAATACAGCCGAAATTTATCTTACTTCGATGCACATAGATAACTGGTCCTTCTCCAGTGCTCACTAAATGGATTTTCTGCTCCAGGAAGCAGGTAGGAAAGATCAAAAAAAACAACAGGGAAAGTTTAAAAAGATTAGACAGCTCTAAGGGTACTCTAAGACTGGGGGATAATTATGGCTGTTTGAAGTTTTCAGTGCTGTAAGACTGAAAAAGAAGGCCTGGAGCAAGTGTGGGACCTGGACTGATCCCATCTGAAAGCCACAAGCTCCCGTTTTCAGGGGGTAAAGAAACCCATGCTTGCTTTTTCACACCTCCTCCACACTGTTAACTCCTCTTTCTCTACCTTGTGCCTGTTCCCACTTCTTTTACTGCTCAATTTTGCCCCAAACCACCCTCCCTGACTTCTGCTGCTGCACAGCACACTTGGACAGTAACTTCTTTAACATTCCCAAAGCTACACCTGCGAAAGTCAGCAGAAGTCAGAAGCAAATCAGGCTCTTTAGAGTAAAGATCACGCAAGTTAATTGCCTCTGATTTGTGCATACATGTATTCCTGGTATTATATGAATAATGGGCATTAATTACTAATTACATCAGTCAAGTAGTATTTTTTATTCTGACAGGCTGAGACCCAAAAGTTTTGTTTTTGCAGAACTGGCACAGACTACTAGAGGAGAAATGTGGATCCCTTTGCTAAACCACCTTCTCACATTAAAAACAATGAGAAGCTGGGTTTCACTAGTTCTAAACACCCCAACTCTTAAACAAGACCTGAATGCAGAAAACATCCAACACTGACAAGATGCTCTATGATTTGCTGGAGGGCACGGAGTATGATTTAACCACAAAAGAAACCAGCCTCCATGATGTAAAACCTTTAATGATGTCTGACTCAAGGAAATGGCATTGACAGCTGTCAGAATCACTAGTCCAACTCAGCCAGAAGGCGCAGCATCCAGAAATGCTCATCTCTTGACAGGACACTGCAAGAGCGAGCCAAAAATCACGTACCAGGGCTGGTACATCAAAAATCAGGAGCTGAAGCCATGCATGATCATGGACCTTTTTTCCCTCTGGGAAAAGGGAGGCAATGAGAACTGCAGAGTGGGTGATGCTGCCCAAAGCTGCCAGGAAGGAGGAGCTGGAGGGAATTGCTGTGCCTCACCAAGTCAGCTTTGCTTCCAGGTGACAGCGGGGCAGAAGCAGCAAAGGCAGGGCAGAACCCTTTGGAGATGAGCAGAAAACATCTGGGGGATGCCCAGGCTACCTGGCTTCAATTAGAATGTGTACTGACATGATATATCCTCACAAAGAAAAGGGCTTATAAAAGAGAAACATACCTTCCTCTAAAGTCTTCTTAAAAGGGACAAAACCCCAGGCAACGCAACATATGGGGAAAGGCAGTAAAAGGAGATGGCAACTTTGCCATCAATGATATTGCCACGCACACAGCACTGCTGGCTCTGTCGATGGGTATATAATGTCACATCTGATCGTTTAGGAATGAAGTGTCTGTCCCTGGCAGACTGCTGTGCTTTGAGTGACCACTTATTTTGAGAGCAGCCAGCTGCCAAATCCCCTGCCCGCGGCACATGGGGCTGCCTCGCCACCGGCAACCCCAGGCTTGGGTTTTACCAGCTCCTTAATGCAGGATATTACAGACACCACACTGAAGCTGGCATGCAGCCACCTGCAAACAAAATACCAGGCAGCAGAGCCATGGAGGGACTCTACCTCTGCTCAACCTAGATGAAAGATCTGTACCACGTTTCACCTGAAACAGTGTAAAGACTTGGAATCAAGACCAGGCAGCATAATCTAAGACAACAAGAGCAAGCTCCTATCTGTCATTATTGGAGTACACTGCAGCCACTCCTGAGGTCAGATTTGCATCGTATGATCCATACGGGTAGGACGTGCCACCAGTGCAGGAGGTAGAACAAGACCACTGGCTGTTCTGCTAGCCCAGAAAGCTCTGGAGGAGCCGGCTACTAGGGAACTACTGAAACCACACTCCAGCTATAAGGCAGAACTACAGAAAATGCCCACAGTCTCGCCCAACAGCCAGAAACTCAGGTCTGTGCTGTCGATAGACCCAGTGTGGTTTCTACCAGCATTTGCAGGGTGCAGCAACAACCGAGCACAAACGCTGCATGTTAAAGAGCAACTTAATGGGAGACACACTCGCTCAGTCTCGTGCTAGTCGTTTCTTTAGGGACAGCTAGGCCTCTCCAGCTGAAATGCTCATCCTCTGGGTGAAAGACTGACATATTCGTCTCCAGATAAAGAAGATTAAGGTAAGGTAGAATTTGAAACTACAAATTGTTAACCCAAGGGTAAAAACTTTGCAAGAAATCTCTAGTTAAAAACCAAGCTGGCAGTTAAACAAGTAGTTATTCTCACAGGGAAAACCCCTCCTTTTTAGGGGAAGCATGCCGTGTATTTATGAGTAACTGTTTTGTCAGTCTTCAGACTTCCCTGCAAGGCCTGCATTGGCTTTCCTGTTGACTGCTTTACATGCACATCCACAGTGGCCTGGATGGAGATGTTCAGAGGCATCCAGAAGATTTAGCAGCATCATTTCCATTTGTTTTATTAAAAGTTTAAATCCCTGTGACTACTTTTGAAATGTCAGCCTTTCTTTCTGTTACAGAAAGCTTAAGGTTCCCAGGATTCCTCTGACATCCTCTTCGTGCTCAGAGACATGACAAGACATTTTAAAACAGCTGCTTCAAAATTGAATAACATTTTAAAGTTTAATTAACTAAACTGGTTCTCAATTTCAGCTAGATGAAGCCAGGACACTACCTACAACAATCTCTTCCTACATTTTGTTGTCATTGCTGCTGTTGTGTATGCCTGAATGTGAACACCATCTTTCAGGAGGCTTTAGCCAGGAATGCTTTGCCATATCCATTTCCAATCTTGGTAGGAAAAAAAAGTTCTCTGTGCTCCAGGTGCAAGTGGTGTGGAGACTCATGAGTCTTTGTCTGGGGCTCTTGGCAAAGAGCTATGGCGGGTGTTTCTCAGACGTGATGGGCCTGACTTTCAGCGTGGCCTCTGTGTGGTCCTGAACAAAAGGCCTAATGAAGCAGCAATTGCTATTCATCTAATAACACAGCAGAGTACAACACCCAGGGGTTGTTCTGGGTTTCAGACTGGCCTTCTTATCCTGTCTCACCGCGCCATAATTAAATGCTGTGTCAGACACTTAGATTACCACCTAGAAGGATACCATCCTTCCTCTTCTCTAGGCATTAGCTGTGCCACAAATTCCTTCTTTCCTTGTCCACACCAGCCATATATTACAAGTTCTTGTTTTCCCGGGAAGGATCCCCAGAATTAGCAACCCTGCCTGTACACTTCACACCCCACCAAGAGGAGTCGCACCAAGGCCCACATCCCCTGGAGCTCACCAGAGGGGACCCTTCACTTCCAAACACCACAACATGAGCAACAGTGTCCTGCTCTCCGGTCACCTGGGCCTCCAGCGTCAACGGGACCTCCACCGAGCTGCAAAGCTGGACAATCCCCCACAGCACAGGGCTGGAGTATCGCACAGAAGCATCCTCCTTGTGTTTCTGTTAAGGGACAGAGTCAAACGCAACACACTGGAGTGACCTTTGAGGAAACTTTGAACTCCTCAACATCTACCACGATGGCAATTCACACACATTTTCCAAAATCCCTCAGAGAAAGTAGAAAGGCACAAAGCAAGATACACGACTTGTATGGGCTTAGCATCCTCGGGGGGTCCAAAAGCTGCTGCACCACAAACACCCACTCCTGTGCTGGCAGCCTCCTTGCAGCAGCTTTTCACAAACCTCTAAGCTCTCCTGCATGAAAGCACCCCAAATCCTAGAATATAAACTGCTTCCTCAAAAGTTTAAACTGCTTCCTAAAGTTTATATTCAGGTAGGTTCCAACTGAACTACTTCCTGAAGTTTATATTCACGTAGGTTCCTGTTCTCAGCAATATTTAGGTTTGAATATAAACCATCAAGGTCTTATCCAAACCCCTTTTTTTCCCTAATAAACCCCTTGATAACATTTGAGGGCAGGAGGTAGATGCAATGCCAAACCTGAGGAAGAACCCTGTAGCAGCCTGGAAGATCACTGTCACTCACAAGGGTCAGCATCTGCTGATAAAGTAATTTTAGAAAGCACCATCCAAACGTCATGATGGGGTTGAGCATTCACAGTGGAGGAACTATGCATCTAGGCAGAGAGATGACCAAAAGGGAATTGGACATACTGAGAGAAGGTAAGAGTTTGTTTACTCCCCAAGTAGCATGAAATGGAGCATAACACTTTTGTCAGACAGTTAATACCCCTACAGCAATAAATCACCTTTAACTTCTTTTGACTCAACAACCTCCTCTAAAGATGGAGCAAACCCTGGGACTCAGCTTCGCAGAGGCCACCAAGTGCCCAGGCAGCATATGGTGCTCTGTCCTAGAGCTGCCTGATCCACTTTCCCCTCTCTTTGCCACAGGAGGCTCGCAAGGATCCTCCCAACAATCCCAGCAAGGCGTGAGCTCTGGGGGAGCCTTCCCACCGAGGAGCACAGAATCACAGAATCATCTTGGTTGGAAAAGACCTTGAAGCTCCTCCAGTCCAACCATGAACCTCACCCTGACCGTTCCCAACTCCCCCAGAACCCTCAGCGCTGGGTCAGCCCGACTCTTCAACCCCTCCAGGGATGGGGACTCCCCCCTGCCCTGGGCAGCCCATTCCAACGCTCAACAACCCCTTCTGCACAGAAATCCTTCCTCAGAGCCAGCCTGACCCTGCCCTGGGCAGCTTGAGGCCATTCCCTCTTGTCCTATTGCTTGTTCCTTGGTTCAAGAGACTCATCCCCCCTCTCTGCACCCTCCTTTCAGGTAGCTGTAGAGGGCCAGGAGGTCTCCCCTCAGCCTCCTCTTCTCCAGACTAAACTCCCCCAGTTCCCTCAGCCGCTCCCCATCAGACCTGTGCTCCAGACCCTTGACCAGCTCCGTTGTCCTTCTCTGGACATGCTCGAGTCATTCAATGGCCTTTTTGGAGTGAGGGGCCCAAAAGTGAACACAGGGATCGAGGTGCAGCCTCACCAGTGCCGAGTACAGGGGTAAGATCCCTTCCCTGTCCCTGCTGGCCACGCTATTGCTGACACAAGCCAGGATGCCATTGGCCTTCTTGGCCACCTGGGCACACTGCTGGCTCATATTCAGCCAGTAGCGCTCACCAAGGCTCAAGACACACAAGACTCCAGTGTTTCAGTAAAAATTACTCCCTCCTCTTTCATACCGCTGTTGCCCTCCCTGAGAACTCAGCCCTTTGCCCCAGCAATGGAGGGCACAAGCCACCCCCTGCCTTAGGCAGTGGGGAATCACCCTCTCCCAGTTCCTACAGCTGCCTGGTCCTGCACCTCCACAGCTCCGTGCACAGTCTGTTCCCACTTGCAGTTGTTTTACAGAGCTGCAGCCCAGGCACTGACTGGATGACTCTGCCTGCAAGAGAAAACAGCATCAGTGAACTGCATCTCTCTTGTAATTAAACCGACACTCACTGCAGCACAACACGATTGAATCTGGCTGCGGCAAGAACTTTTGGCTTAAGACTGAGAACATTATTGCTCAAAAGAACCAGAGGGAAGCAAAGAAACCTGAGCTCACCTTCCACACCAAGGACTATTTTTCCCTTCCTAAGATCTTGCTTTTAGCTTTCCCTTACCAGTGCTGCCATAAGTCCCTTTCCCATTTGCATGTGCCTTCGTTAACTGAACCAGACAGCAGCTCTCAGCAGGCTGCTCACTGAGGCCCAAATGAATTTTGGTTGCATCCCAGCATAAGTCCACCACTTGCAGGAAGGAGGAAAGATGTCCCTTTGGGAAATTTATTATACCTCAAGCACCAAAAAACAGGCCAATAATGAATATAATTACTGCTCCCTTTAGAAAAATGCTCAGGGCCATGCCTGTTCGTTGAGCACAGGTGCTTCTCGACACATGCTGCTTTCAAAACACTGCCGATCTCATATCTAGCTGGGCAGAAGTAGCTCATTAAGCAGCACTTCTCATTTGGAGATGAAGCCATCAAACCACGTGCAGGGCAGCGTTGTGATGGATGCATGAGGAGAGATGACAAGCTGCAAGGAAAGTGCTGATACCTGGCTGTGAGGAGCAGCGCCAACACCTCCTTGCCAATACCACACACGCCCACAACCAGTGCCAGCTAGTAGCTCTTCCACACTGTTGGAACACAGGGTGACCTGGTGGAAAAGAAGAGCATTTTATTGCTCCTAAAAGCCATTGTCCACGTGTGCCGTCCTCTGGTTCTCGTTCCACAGTAAGGGAGGACTTTGCCCTAATTCTTCTGCTGGCCTGTGTACAGAGCACAGTTGCTGGGAGTAACAGAAGTCTTCTGACATTATCTGCTTTTTTAAATCACCTTGCTGTTATCAGGGCATATGTAAGCTAAATTAAAGCACAATTAGACTAATGGTCTACTCACCACTGTATTAAAATTAAGGGACTAATTTTTAATCTCAACTACAATAGCATAAATGCAGAGGCAATCTGTTGACTTCAACAGATTCAGCTTTATATTGGGAAGCCGAGGGCAAAATGTGGCTCAGCAGATGCTGTGCAGTTCATAGCTGCCAAGAGTTTTTTCAGTCCCCAATGGAGATCACGCAGCGAATACGACTCATTCTGCTCAACAGGAGAGGAGAAATAAGAATGAGAAGAAAAGCAAACTGCTTTATACAATGACATCTCTCTTTTTAACAGCCACCTTCTGTCCTCATCCTTCCTCTGCCCACTTTAAATCAAAGAAATTGCTCAAAGCAGCTCTCAAAACACATGAATGGCTTCTGTACTTGACCATATGGTATATGATCTTCATCTTACGATTCTGGAAACAAAACAGTGCTCCTTCAGAACAGTCCCAGAGAAACGCAGCTAACAAAAGCCCAACACTAGTGCAGATATCCTACCCGTGTTATGTTCAAAGCCAAAAGTGCTAAAGCCCTCTCAACTCCCAGTGAAACTCCAGCTCCACCCACCGAAGCATGGGCGGCCAGACTCTTCCCATACCTGGATACCCAGGAGTCCCAGGGGGCAGATGGTCCCTCTGCAGGGCTTTATGGTAAAGCCATTGGGCTCCCTTTCTCTGGGGTGGGTGAGTGTTGTCTGACAGCAGAACAAAGCTTCTGACACTGGGCTCTCCCAAGCCGTCCCCAGGAATGTGAAGGTTGAAGGTCGGGGGCACTGAGGAGGTGTTAGTGAGGCAACACAAGAAGATGTGAGGAAAGTCTAGGAAAATAATACAACTATGAATTTATGCACCAATTATCCCGTGATTCTTGGTGTGAATGGCCTGTTATGATAAAAGCACACTTGGGGTTTAGCTCTTTTCAATCTGAAGTACAGCTGAGAAGCTACGCAAGGAATTAATTGTCACTTAAGGTCCCTTTTATGCGATCACAGAGATTGCTTCCTTGGAAATGCCCACTCTTAGTGATACTGAACACCACAAGTTTCTCTAACTGTGAGGAGCTCTCTCAACCTGCCCCTAAACCAGCACCAATTATTTCTCACTTACAAGTGCGCATCCAGACAGACCATTTATTCGGAAAATTCAATCCGTAAAATGCCCATGTGAACTCTGAGAACACTCCCACAGTTTTCAATATATAAAAGCAGTGTATTGTCATCGAGGAGAAGCTACAGTAAAAGAAAGGAAGGATGAAATTGGGAATGATAGCATGATGCAAAGTGCTCTAACACAGATTCTCTAGGCAGGATCCTTAAGGCATCTCCTATCTGGAGCAACCAGACTGAGCATGTGACAACTCACTGCCCACTGCACTGGAGGCAAACCTGATGCTTGCTTAGAAATCGGCATCATGTTTCACCTTACCTAACAAATGGGAACATCACTGCCACACTGGCCCGCAAGGCCACTTTAGCTGTGATACTCACCTTCCATCATGGAAAGCTAGTGATACAACCACTTGGTGGGGGTGTTCTGCAGATAACAGCCCACAACCTGCTCTGGCCTGGACATCTGGCTCGGCTGGCCAGCTCTGTGAGAAGGAGACATCTCCCGTGGCCTGCTCACCAAGCATCGTTTGAATGCAGACGGGGAGGAAAACCAACTGCAGCCACGGGGGGGTGGGGGGGTGTCTCCATGTCCAATAACAGTCACCACTGCCCACCTCCAGCAGTTACTCCAGCAGGGAGGCAGGACAGGCATAAAAAACACAAACACAGACTTCACAATCCCAAACAAGACCAAAGTCACCAGATGCAGGCCAACAGTCAGCAGCACAGTTAAAAGAAGCAAAAATACAATAGCTGCCTTCAGCTGAAAAGCCCTTATTAATGAAATGAGATTAAGGAAGATGAATCTCCTATTGCATAACCACATTTCTGCCTGGCGTGTTTCTTGTTGTTTTATTTATACAAAAGGAAATAAAGAAGTGGCAGAGCGGTGATGGAGGGAGGGGAAAAGCGGCTCAGGAAAGGTAATGAGTTTTCTTACAAAGTCCATGAACAGCATGAAAACACAGAGACATCCTGGGCGCAGAATGATAATGGCCCTTCAATCAGTCCGCAATTGATTTCACATTTAAACTGTAGATCATCTCAGTAAAAAGCCTTTTGTGAGACTGAGATGGAGAACCAGAATCTGCATTTCGATGGAGATACTCTGGATGCTCAGCCACTGGCTCTGTCAGCAGAGCTGGGCCTGTGGTGGGGAAGGAGGAGACCATGGTCCAAGGACATCAGTGCCCGATTCAGAGCTATTACTTGGGCGTGTTACCTGGTAGGTGACAACGAGGGGCCCTCACAGCGTTAATTAACATCTGTCACTAAAGGTCAGGTGGGTAAATGGTATCCTTGCCTTGCCACAGGAACATTTACCCAGAGCAGCTACAGGCTTAAACTCCCTTCTCCCACAGTCTCATCCTCTGGGCCCGTCTGGGACAAGGACTTTCACAGTCATTCTGCTGCCCAGGACTGGGAGGTTGGGACTGAACAGACTACAAGGACACCAGAAAATACTGACTTTCTATTCCTTTGGTCGATCTCACAATGGCACAAGACCTCCTAAGCAACCAGCAGCCCTGGCTTTAACACCCTGAAGGCTGAAATGGAGGAGCACAAGTGATGGATGATCTTATGTTAAAGTGCTCCAGTTCGGTAATTCAGAGAGCTCTCAACTTGCGGCCCAAGCCCAGGGCACACTCACCAAAGGAGACATCACCGAAGTGGAGGGCAGGGACATTGAAATGAAAAGTCAGTCCAGTGACACAGCCCCTGCAAGGACAAAGACAGGCAGAGGAGGCATTGGCTTGGTCAAAGAGAAAGGCAAAGCCTTCAGCTTTCCTTACTGCTCGGGTGGGTAAAAGCTGCTGTCAGAACCAGGGTGGGTTTCAAATCAACCTGTCACTCCAGTGCACAGCACAGCATCTGTGTGGACAGCAGACAGCCAAAGCAAAGTGGTCAGCAGCCGACAGCTGCTGCTGAGGCTCAGGGCACCATGCCAGGGTGTGCTCCCACACTGCTGCTGGCCCCATGAATGTCCCTGAGCAAGGGATGGCTCTGTGCCTCAGTTTCCCATCCATAATGTGATGGGCACAGAGATGTCCACACAAAAGTGGGCTCATTATAACTAGCCTTCCCAGCCACAGGTTCCCTGCTTTGGTATTTCTTAGCTGGAACTGGTGTGTACATGGAGTAAACAAACACCTTTCTCCAAAGACCTTGATCCACACAATCATTATGCATGCAGGATTTTGAGGCATGAATCCAGGGGAGCCCCAAACATCCACTGAGAAGAGCAGCAGCAGTTCTACACAGTGAACAGCTGAATCTTGGAGCGAAGTATCAGCTTGTCACCAGCTGACACATCCAAGAGCAACATGCCTTAAACAGCCAAACATGGGTGTCCTGAATCCACCTCACCCGTCCTTAAACTCAGCAGACAGGATCCAAACTCCAAAAATGACTAACACCCACTGAAATCAGCACTTGAAGCTTCACAACATTCATTAATTTATTTCAAGCTTGATGCCAATCAATGCCATCTTTGCCTCTTAGTTAAAAATCAAGGGCCAAAGTGAACAGTCTTTATTTATCTACTTTTATTCGCAGGACTGCCACTGTCATTACCCACATGTTCTGCACATGAACAGACCCCAGCATCCCACAGGAGGGACCTGCGTTCATCCGTGGTGTCCCATGTCCAGCATGCCCTTCTAAACAGCAAAGAAACAAGCATTCAGGACATCGTTAAGTTGGTTTCCAAGTAAAGACTAATCACCTATAGTCTTAGCATCTTCTGACTGCACAGTCAAAAAGCACTCAAAAACTGACTTTCAGGAGTTTCAATCCAACACTAATTCTTGGTTCTTGGAACTGAATCAGCCAGGTAGAAAATCCCTTCTGATGGTGAAGTTCCCTCTCCAGGGACCTCACATAACCAGATTTGACCTCCCAAGCCCTGACGCCTTACTTTAGATGAAGCAAAGGGTACAGACATGCTTTCTGTCACAACACTTGCCAGGAGACGATAGAAAACTACCTCCAAACCAGCCACGACTGGGGATGACACTGGGAAACTGCCAAGGATGAGCCTTGCCAGTCAAGTGGGGAAATGACCACCACTTGTGCTGAGTGCACTGTATCTGTGCTCAAGGAAGTTAAACCGGAATGACTGCCCAGAAGGATCAGGCAAGGAGCCAACCCAGAGCTCTGTGCACCACAGCTCATAACAGTACAGCTTGCAAGAGAATGGGGGAAAAGGCAGTGGTTTTGGCAACAACTCTTTTACAGTAGCATTAAGTAATGCACATGAGAAGGGAGATCAGGGTCCTGGCAGAGCAGGAAGGATAACACAAGGTGGGAGATGAACTCCTTGAACTCTCATCCCTATTCTTTCCTTTACAGCCAGCTCACCTCCATTCAAAAGAAATGGGACCTTTTTTCCATGGAGGATGAAATCCCGTGCACAAAACCTCCTGAAGAGGGAGGCTCAGCTTGACCTAGTGGGTGGACATCTCAAAGGCATTTGAAAACAAACAGCTTGAGTTGTGGGGCTGGAGAGGGATCCTTGAAAAAGGCAAGACAGAGCTCGAGGAGGCAGATGCCATCTCAAGGAGGAGAGGACTGCAGTGGGAATTGCTGCTGAGGGACAGCTGCATGGGAGCAGGCGGGTGTGCTGGGGTGCCATCAGATGGGCTGCACAGGAGCCACCATCCAGCGAGGAGGAGTGCAAGGACGGGGAAGAAATAAAGAAAAAAAGACCAGCAGTCCATTTTCACTGAGACAGAAAGTCTGCACTGAGCCCAGCAGGGTACAGGCTGAACAGGGCAGAGAGTGGTCACAGAGAAGGGGAGTGCGTGCTGGGCACTGGGAGCCAGGGCATCACTGAGGAAAAAAGGACCACTTCATCTGGCTGTGGGGAAGCCAAGACACAACCGTCCCTCTGACAGCTCCTTCCTTCCTTCCCCAGGAGCAAGACCACTGCAGGGCAGAGGCAGCGGGCACTGTCCAAGCAGTACTGTATTCTACCTGTGGTAAGTGCAGCCTTACCAGCAAAACCTGCCCTTGCTCAAGGAGAAAGCTGCTTATGCAATAACACCCCGTGACCAATTTGGGGGAGGGACAGAGGAGAATAAATTATTTGATTGTGAAATGTTCCCTCTTGATTTCCAAAAAAAGCAGCACTTTCCCTCCAAACACAAAGCAAACATAATTGTTTCTCTACAGAGGTCAACAGACCTACTCACCACTCTTCTCTTGCGAAGTAATAACCTTTTTGTTCTTTTTTATCCATTTCCCTCACCTTACTGGTAAAATCAGCTGCAGATTCCTTTCATTGTTTTACTACCTTGATCTAGTGCCTCCCAGCAACAGCAGCCCAGGAGGCTGGTTGCCGAAGAGGCACAGCCAGCCCCACAGTTCCAGAGCACCCAGCACCAGCTTTCCTGCCTACACCATGTTATCCCACCAACCAATGTTTAAGACCAGCTGGGATAAGTTTGCATGCTGCTGTGGTCCTGACAAGTGAGCTTTGCCTCTCCTATCATCAGCATTTTTTCCTCCCTTCTCCCCTTTGCTTGGTGAGGATTATCTTTTGCTGTGGCACCAGCCCACGGGATGGTGCCCAAGTCTGTGTGACAGAACTTGCTGCAGAGCTCCCCATCTCCTGCATCAGCACTTTTTTGGCTGCAGAAAGGAGGTACCATAGCACAAGAGCCGGGAGGACAGCTTGTCCCAACACATTAGCATGAGAGATGATGCTGAGGCTGCTGCTACCCATTTGGGATGGATTATTAACAGAGGAAATTAAAAACACTTGCTTCTGACTGCAGTCACTCAGGCTGGCCCATCTCCAAAGCCCTGCTGGCCTTGCTGTGTGTTCAGGGGGGGGTGGCCCAGATGAGCTACCGCCCAAAGCTGATGCCATCCCACTGTCTGCCATGGCTCAAGGGGGAGTGAGCTACCTGTAGGAAGGAGTCACTCCAGCTCCTGGGTACCCGGACTGGGCAGCAGACATCTCCACACCTTTCCTGAATAGCCTCACTCAAACTGTTTACCAGCATGGGTAGTCACTTAAAGCTCTGGGGGCCCTCACAGAGATGTGTGAGAACCTGCTGCTGCCAAATTCTGTGCAAACAGCATCCTGGAAAGTCACAGAGCCACCCACCCCAACCATGAAAGCAAAGCTGCTTCCCAGAGGAACCCAAGACTTTGAAAGTTAAACTGGGTATTGAGAGCATAAGAGGCATGGTCACCAAGGCCAGCAGGTCAAGGGAGGCGATCCTGCCCCTCTACTCTGCTCTGATGAGACCCCCCCTGCAGTGCTGTGTCCAGCTCTGGGGTCCTCAGCACAAGAAGGACATGGGCCTGCTGGAGTGGATCCAGAGGAGGGACACAAAAATAGTAAGAGGGATGAAACACCTTCCCTGTGAGGGCAGGCTGAGAGAGTTGGGGTTGTACAGTCTGGAGAAAAGAAAGCTCCAGGGAGATCTTATCATGGCCTTTCAGTACTTCAGGGGGGCTTGTAAGAAAGATGGGGACAGACTTCTTAGTAGAGCCTGTTGTGATAGGACAAGGAGTGATGGTTTTAAACTAAAAAGAGGGCAGATTCAGACTAGATACAGGGAAGAAATTTTTTATGATAAGGGTGATGGAACACTGAAGCAGGTTGCCCAGATCGGTGGTAGATGCCCCATCCCTGGAAACATTAAAGGTCAGGGTGGACGGGGCTCTGAGCAATCAGATTGAGTTGAAGATGTCCCTGCCCGCTGCAGGGGGGTTGGACCAAATGACCTTTAAAGGTCCTGCCAACCCAAACCATTCTACGATTTCCTCTTGCAGACAATTACACTTCATTTGCTGCTGCAACTGCAAGGTTCAAACTGGAATCAAGATTAAAAAGCCCTGGCTCTTAATGTGGGGATGCTAGGATCCAAGCCAAGACTAAGACCTTAGACAACACCTTTTTTTCTCTGTTTCATCCTAAAATGAGGTAGGTGGGAGATGATTGCCCAGACATAGCTACAGATATGCCCACCAAGCTCCTATAACCCTCCTCACCTAATAGTCAAGGTCACAGGCTCAGGGGATCCATTCACACTGAACCTGAATTCTTCTGTGAACTCCCCCAGGATGGTGGGACTGAAGGAAATTCAGATGACTTGGAGCCCATCTGGCAAAATTATGCCCTTCTGGGGGAGGAAAGTGAAGCAGGAGCCCAGAGCTGTAGCTGGGGGGGAGCCCAGAGCTGTAGCTGGGGGGACCAAGTCAAAGACAGCATCGATGGCTCCTTTGCTGAACAGAACCACCTACAGCAGCAAGAAAGCAAAGTGCAAGTACATAAGGAATCTTCCTTTCTTACAGAAGGCTGATTCGTTTTCTGATTAACCAGTTAACGTTTGTAAAAAGCAGAAGAGGCTGTGTGCTGTTACTTGGCAGAAGCCAAAGAAAATACAACAGGACAAGTTCTGCCTTTGGGTTTTTCATGCAAAGCAGTGACAGCTTCATAGAAACAGAGTCACTCAGTGTGCTGGTTTAAGCCTTGCCGGGATCAGAGAGCACGTTGCCGTTGCCCCTCCCCCACCCGCACCGGTTGGGCTGGAAGTTAGACACAGACCCCGGCTAAAATAACAAGAAATTTAATACAACAGAGTGATAGAACAATCAACAACAACAGTATCAATGGTAACAACAATAAACAGCAATAACAATGAACAAGACAAAACGATATAGAGAGAAATACCGCTAGCTGGTTTACGGAAAGAAAGGTTCCCCACCGAGCCCACCAAAGAGCAAGAAAAAGGTTCCGCCCCTGGACCTGACGTCAGCATGGTATGAATAACCCGGCTGGAGATCCCTTCCCTCTCCCTCTCTGCTGGGGAAAACTTGACTCTATCCTAGCTGAACCAGGACACTCAGGGTTTATTCCACTGACACAGAGCAGCCCACTACAACTTGCAGTGTAGAGGAGCTGCTCAGCATCACCAGGTTGATTCAGAGCAACAAAGGGCAGTTGCAGCATTACTAGTGAATCATCACACAACCAATCCTGCTTCCAACGAGTCCAATCCTGCCAAGGGCAGAACATGTTCAGCTTCCATTGCAGTCAACAAGTTTACTGAACGTAGGAGACACCTCAGAACAGCACTAGAACCAACTTCAGAAGCACTCCCCAACTCTGCTACGGTATGTAATTTAGGTTGTTCTTTAATGGGATACTTTCTTAGTTTTGCTCACACGTGTCAGGAAAGGATGAGTGTGCAGTGCACAGCAGCTCCATCTATGCCAAAGAATTTATCTTTCCTAAATATTCACAGCCACCATCTAAGGCTTTACCATTATCAGAATAAACTGCAAATTTAGAACTAAGCCATATTTGTCGAACACTCAAGAAATCTATTGCCTCAAACAAGTGACACAATCCCACAGCACTTGTTGAGATTCAGCTCTTTTCATGTTGGGTGAGAAATGCCCACAGCTGTTGCGAGTACCAGCACGCTGTCAATCACCAACAAACCCACCCAAAGCAAAGCTGTAAAGGTTCTGATTGTTGCAGGGTGAAATCCTGCCATTTCCATGGACTTAACTACTCATCTTGGATTTCTTTTTCCTAATTTTTGTCCTTGCAAAACCTGTTAGAAAAACTGAGACAGAAGCAGAGAGATGTCCCTTATTTTTTAATTTTCCAGCTGCTGTTGAAAATATTCATGTATGCAAACTCTGCAAAGGTAACCTGAAAACTGCTCTCTCCTCTCATGTCTTTTACACCTCAGCTACAAATTGCACTTAAGGATCCAACACTGAGCTGAGGTTTACCTCCAGCCTAGCTGCTTAGTACAGCACTAACGGTATCATCTACTTAGTCACATTTTCTCAAGTAATGAAAATAATAAATTGAAAGAGAAAGAATCAATAAAGTATCACCATTAAAAATGCAAAGAGAGCACAATATTTTGGTAAGAAAACACCTTAATGTGTCCTTCCCTGCCACAGCCAAGCTTTTGAAAGTGTCTGGCATGATGTATTGCCTCATTTTCTACCTCTTTCAGTTGCTCTATCTTATTTTTTTTTGCAGAAGACTTGACACCATTGGCAGGGGGAGGCAAATATGTAGAAAGTTCTTTCACTTCATCTCCAGAAATGCTTTGTTCTTCATAGAGATGCAGCAAATCTGAAGAGTGGTGAGGGACTGGTCAGCAAGGGAAAGCACTCCCAATTTCACTGCAAGACCCAGCGCAGAGCCAGAGGCTGGACAGGCTTTCCTCCAGCTCCCAGGAAACCAGCAGGATGCACTTAACCAAAAACTTTGCAATGGACTGGATTTCAAACACAGCAAATTTGTTCCAGCTGCTTTTTAACAGCCTGAGTACAAAGGTGCATTACATCTAGGGCTGAAACAGAAGCCTCTGAATATTTATCTTTTTGACCCAGTGTTGCTTTCATGTGTCAAGGGGGTATTATTTCACATGAAGCCTCCCAGCTGATCTCCAAGGAAGGTTGCCAAAAAGCAGGGATTAAGGCTTCACAAACAACATATGCACCTTTCATATCCCATCAAAAGTATCCAGATTCTGTGAAACCCCCCAGATTTGACTAGCATGTCAAATATTACCTGCTCACAATTACCCAAGTTCCCAGAAATTCCACAGATCCACAAGGCTCACTGCTGCCCTGGGAGCCATCAGGATCCCCCCCAGGCCCTCAGAATCCCAACTGCTCACCTCATAACTGTAGTCTGATCCAACAAAAACCTTCCCGATGTCCAGCTGCTCACAGCTGAAGCGAAGCCGAGGCCCTATGCCTTCCCCTTTGATGCGCAGGGGAAGCCCGGTCTCATGGCCTGGGCAGAGATTTCAGCTTCAGTACAGTAATTCCCTCTGTTATCCTGGATTGCCCAGGCTGCCTCAGTGCGACTTCCTAACTCTGGGCTGGATGGGACCAGCTCTAGGTGCTCCAGCAGGAGATACAGGACCCTTCTCTTTGCTCAGGAGATATGCCTTGGGGCTGGCTTCTAATTTCTAACTAACCCCTTGGGCTGGTTTCTCATTTAGCCATCAGTTTGCACCCTGAAAAAGTGATGCTGATCTTAAAACACAATCTCTGAATTTCTTCCCATGTGCTTAGATGAGCTCTGAAATCCTTTCAGTGAAGGCACAAAGCTTATGAAACAGAACTGAGGATGAAAATATGCCATCTGTACTGATGCAATCGGAGACAACAGCACAGGAGCTGAGAAGTACGAGCCCTGGCAAGGCAAATCTCCCTGCTATGCACATCTGAGTGCTGCCTAGAGCAGGCAGAGCATCTCAGCCACTGCTCGTGCCTGACAGAGCTCTGTGCCCAGGGCTACAGGGCACACTTCCTGCAGCGGCACCCAAATGAGACAGCGAGCAGCACTCACCTGTGCCCACCGTGATACCGAGAGCTCAGCTTTGTAAAGACACCTTACCTGAAGCAAGCTGAACAGTTATGAAAAACCTCACTACTGAGGTCAAAGAAGCCATAAATATATTGCTAATACACACAGCCCTTGCTGCAAAGGAACTGAGACTGCAGGTCTTATAGCTAAACTCTAAGGGGATCATTTACTTCCATAAGCCTGCTAAGATGACATAGTATGGGATCTTTCAGTCTGAAGGCTGTTCCGAACCACTGCAGCAGCCTCAAGTGCCCGAATCCTGGTTCCAATCTCAGCTTGGGTCTCCCTGCCATCCCGTCCTACTCCGCACAGAAAGTGAGTAGCACAAGGATGAAAAGAAAGGCCCAGAGGTTGTATCTAACCTTCACTGTAGCTTTTATGCAAAAATATTCCTCTGTCCTTTTGTACGATGCTCACCATTAATTAAAGATTAGGGATTGAAGGTTGATTTTTTTTTTTTTTAATTCTGTTGCAAAATTACTTCCTATTGCAAAGGATAGCCCAGGTGGGACAACACAGTGACTAGATCACAACTCAAAAAAACTCTCCTGGAACAGCCTTTTCAATGACTGCTGACTTTTTGATCTTGCAACCATGGGATGAGGATGTTTGATAATGTCCAAAGCCAGAAAGGAAGAGTGAGGGAGCTTTTGAATTTAACATTTTAAAGTGGATCCAGCCAAAGCCCAGCTCACAGCAGAGATGAGAATTAGGTTGCACAGCTCAGGCATTAATTGGAGAGCCATTTCTATTTTATAGACAAAAGAGGCAGTATTGGGTGCTCACTGTCAAGAAATTTCTCTCCCTTGAATCACGTGTGGCTTAATTTTCTTTAAAAACTCCAGGTCTAAACCATCAAAGTTCTTAGGAAATGGTAAAGATTTCCAAGTGACAAGCTTTTGTCCACGATTATGCTGAGAAACACATCCCATGGCCACTGCAGTCAAAACATTAGTGGCAGCTCTTCCCCTTCTGCAGTATGTCCTCATCCTCTCCAGGTCATCTCTGGAAACCATTCTTTCTTCTAACCCTACGCTGAACTTGAAACTTCAGGAAATCCCAGAAAAGTTGCTCTTTTGCCTTTCGAGGTGAACCGCAGAGCAGGTTTTTTCCCAAAGGAGGAGAAGCAGACTAAACTGCAGGCAGCATTCAGGAGAGCTGAGAAGGAAAAAGAGAGTATGTCCTCCTGTTTGCTGGGAGCTGGGGCTTCCAGGAGCATCCAGCCTTTGCCCAAGGCCTGGCTACAGCTGGGCTGTGGCCCTGTGATGCTCCCACTGTAACATGTCCCAGAGCACACAGGCCAAGGGCATGGAGGGGCTACAGCCTCCTTGTCCTCAGCCCCAAATCCACACCTGGTGCTGTGGAGCGAGAAACGGGACGTCTGTAGGAAAATGCAGTAGCATGTCACACAGGGTGTGCAGTTCGGCACTGCTGCCTTGCTTTCAAATACATAGGGGTGTAGGTGGCCCAACAGCACGGGGCTTTTCTGCCAAAGTCTTTAACTTCTGCTGCTTTCTGACACTCAGTTCCTTGTTCACAGAACATCCCCATCCTTTGTGACTGGTTTTGAATACAGTTCCCATCTCGTCATGTCAATAAACAGTTTTACATGATGCAAGACAGTTCTGTCACGAGGTAAGGGAGTGATCATCACGTGGGATTTTGCTTCTCCCTGCAAGACGACCCTGGCTTAAGAAAGGGTTTTGCAAGGTGTAACCCAGTACAGTTCTGTGTGCAGACAAACCTAAAACTTAATTTTACGTGTCAGAGCCCCCCAGCACATGCTTCCTTCCAGGACTCGAGAGCCACAGCTTTATTTGCATGAATAACTAAGAAAGTTCATTTTGAGATTAAATATTTGCTGAGGGCAAATTTCAAACCACTTCTTAACTCCCAGCTTGGCAAGTTGCACAGTGCCGATTACTTCTGTAAAACACCTGATCCAGAAGCATCTGCTAAGCAATTTTTTGCAGGTGCTTCCATAAAAGTGGGGGCAGGCAAAGCCCCTTTCCTTTTTGCACCTGCAAAAAAAAGTGGGGCATGAGATCCAGCTGCACAACTCATGGGGCTGCACTGGAGCAAAGCTTCCAAGTGTTCCCAGAAGGGGCACACACCGTCTGCAAACGATCCTCTAAAGGGATCTGTGACTGGCATGCAAATGCATGAGGAAGGCAGTCACGCTTCTTAGAGGAATCAAGAAGCAAAGTTAATTGACTCCCTAGTTAAAGATCATCGTTTTCTTCTTTAAACTCTTCTTGCACTCAGGGGCCTTGACTCTGGGATGGTTTCCACACTGATAATAGAGCAGATGAGCTCTGGTTTGTAAGGGAGGGGGCTAGGTGCATCATTTAAATTACCTCCTTGAGGTCCTCTTCCAAGAAGCCACTGGAAGAGTTAAGTTCTCCCGAGTGTCCATCGGGATCTTTTCAAGAGCAGGCTTCTCTTTCTAAACACAGATCATTTGACCAGCTCTGTTTCCTAGAACTCCCAGACCAACTCAAGGGTTGCATCCAAATAGGTTTCCTGTCTCCCTGCAACAAAAACGCTCTCCTGGCACAACCCCTGGAGACACTTGCAGCAAAATGATGGACACTCCCATCACCAGAGCAAAAATCCCAAAGCCAGGAGCACAGCACTGAGCGAGGAATCCCTCAGGAGCAACTTTTTAAATCAATGCTTTCCTTCCACAGCTCTAGCAACTGCAGCTGGCAGGCAGGAAGACTGTTTACACAAGCCCTGGGTAATGACTGTAGGTGGCATTTGCCAAGTAAACCCTGTGCAATTACAGTATAAATAAAAAGCTGTTTCATGACATTCGTATCCTTCAGCGCAGAGCAGTAAGGAAAGCAACAAAGCAGCTGGGTTAGTGACTTCGGCACACTCCAGAACAGGCGCCTGGCTGCTGGGGGACTATGGGCCTCACACCTCTTCCTCTTATATGGGGAAAAACCATGATGTTCCCTTTATGGAAGCCTGACAGCACTCTCTAGTCTTGAAAAACACCTTAAGTAGCACCGTGCAGAGATGGAGGAAGGATGAGATCACCCGAACCCTGCAGCCTGCTGCAGGCACTCCCTGCCCCGTGCTAGCACAGCAAAGCCATCACCTCTCCCAGGGCAGAGATGGTGCCGCTCAGGTGCGCCAGAGACAACTGCTGCCAGCAAAAGACGAGATGGCACTTCTGTAAGACAGGATGAGCATAAAGCTTGCCTAGCAGACTGCTCGGACTCTGATTTCCAGGGAGGGTGCTCACCCTGCTAAGCACAGCAAGCCCTGAGCAACGTACCCAGAGGCACCACAGACTCAGAACCACAAGGTGACAATTCCCACGTGCTGGCCAGAGGTGGTCCTTCTGCAGACAGCAGGGCTCAGCCACCCAAGGTCTGGCAGTGTCAGGATAGCGAGAGGGGATCCAGGGTCTGGAAGCAGCTCCTACTGCCTCAGGAGTCTGATGACGCATCTGTGTAATTGACTCCTCTTGGAGAAAATTGGTCTATAGGGACTTGGTGCTCGTCCGCTGAAGCTATTTAGCTCTGTAGCTCTTTGGCCTCTACAGACACCTTGCAGCAGAGCAAATGCTGGCAAACCTACAACATGAAAACTTATCCCTTCACTGCCTTGGTTGTTCTGGTATCAATGATCCAAGCTTGTAGCCACACACCCTGAGGGCTGGCCTTGGACAGGAGACCACCTGGAAACCACAGGGGCAGTGGGCACATGCCAGCACCCTGCAGACCACTGACCCTTCCTAACAACTACACAAGAACCAAGTGGTCTGGAAGACTATTTGTGCCTTCACTGTGGGTAACAGAAGCAGGAGAATGGAGCTGTACCTGAGATGTCACAGTAGACTGACTGTTGATAAGACTCTGGCTTCTCAGGGTTTAAAGATCACATTAATTTCAGCTGAAGAATTTGGCCAGATATCTCCCTCCTAAAACAGAAGGAGACAGCAAACCATTTATCCTCAAACATTACCTTTCTTGTTTTCAACCACAGCCCTGTAGCCTTTATTTAGAGCACCAATGAAAAGTGCGGAGCAAACACTTACCAACAAAATTTGTAAGAGAGTTTAGAAGCAGCTGCAAAAAACCTAAGTCCATTACCTTTACTGGCACCTGGTAGAGGCATTTTGTTAAACTAGGACTATAATGAAGAAAACAAGCTGGCTCACACTCCAGTGAATCAAGTAAGATTTCTTCAGAGGTACCAGCCAGTTTAAGGAAAAGGTACCTGTCTCCTCCAAACCTTCCCACATACCCATGTAGCACTATGGCTACATGAGCACTTTTACTCAGATCAGGAGAGATTTAGCAAATCAAATAGAATTTTCCATTCTTAGTTACAAAGGTGCTGCCTCTTACATCCTTCAGCTGCGCATGCACGTAAGTATTTAACGTACTCTGGTGAGTGGGGCACTCAGCACCAAGCAGAGCGAGCCCTCCTGCCTGGGGATGAAAGAACAGGCTCCTGCCCACTGGCGGCTGCTCTGCCCCAAGCCGTGAGCAGCCAGCCAGCACGCAGGCTCCTCCAGCTCATGTATGATCTGGTAAAGGAGTCGAGAGACAGATGCACCCTGTTTCTCTCTGCAAGGTGCACACACTCCTGTTTCCCTGAACTCAGGCGCAGACAAGAAGAGAGAGGATTTGCTTACAGCTCCACACCTCTTTCAACCAACAGGCTCTTTCCCATGTTGTGCTCTTGCTCAGGGATTTAAGTCTGGGCCATGCTACCAGTGTGTCTGCAACTCTCTGCTGCTTCCTCGAGGTCTTCTCTCTCTGGTTCTCACCCAAAGAGTCCTGGCACTGGCGCTCAGTCCCAGGGAGCCTCGTTGCACGTTTTTGGAGGCATGCCTGGTTTCTAAAGGCTCTCACTTCTTGCAATGGGTTTAAACAAAGACATCAATTACACCCCCCTGAACCCCTAGCATTACAAATTTTTCTTTGTGTATTTGTTGACATAAATATAGGCACCTCTGACAACTATAATAATACTCTATAATGAATGAAAAATTCAGCTTATAGAAGACAGAAAGAACAGAGTTATTTTTCTATCGACGAAGTGAGGCTTTGATTCTGCTTGCTGCTGGGTATCCTCACTACTCTGCCCAGAAGAGCCTTGAACTGAGTGGAGCCTCTGGCACTCCTGCAGCATAAATATTAAATAACTATAATACTTCCCATCGACTTAGCCCTTATAGCTCAAAGGGCAGCCCCCACAAAAATTAAAGAGCTATGACATGGTGAGTTATTGGACTGCGGCTGCAATTAATTCCCTAATGCACAGCCTGCTCAGAGTCAACAGAACAGAGAGAAGAACAGGTAGAGAAAACTGTTGCAAAACCCAATAAACCAATAATAGGAAAAGGCAAGTGTGAAAGAATAAAGTCACTTGGATTCTTCTCAAAACCTAGAGCAAACACATTTGCCAGATCAAATGTACTTCGTGTTTCTATCCAGCAAGCAATGGGATGGAGCCTTGATGCATCACAACACACGTGCTTGAGGAAGCAAACCAGGGACATTGACCCGCAACCCCCAGGCAGCGTGCCAGACACCAGACCCTTCGGCTCTCATAGGGATGCTGCACAGACTCACAAGCACCCGGAGAGTTATCTTGGATTGACAGGAATAAAAGCGTTTGGGTGTGCTGAACAACATGAGCTCTGCTATGACACCTGGAGCTTCCCTAAGCCGAGCCACTGAGAAGAAACACTCCGATGACAGATTTCCCTAGCTTGGCTAATTAGAGTCTAAAAACTCACCGGTGCCCATCACCCAGCTGCTTGCTGTGTGTTCAGCAGACTGAATTCAGTGGTCTCACCCTGGGCAGACCGTCCCTGGTGAGGGGCAGCTGCTTGCCTTTGCTCCGAGCCCCACAGCTGTAGCTGAGCACACAGCTCACTCAGCCGCATTCTGCGCTCCTCCTCAAAGGGTGCAGCATGGGCTGAGCTGCCCAGCGGTGCCGTTTGATCCTCCAGCTGCTGTGCTCCTCTGCCCTGAGAGCTGCAGACAGACCCCATTCAGTTCCTGCATGGCAAACGATGCCTCGCCAGGCTTACCAGCACCATCAGCTACACAAACACTCCCTGCTGAGATGTTGAGAGCAGTGGTCATGCTCCAGGTCTTCATTTTACACAGGGGTGTAAAACAGGGGAGGAGAGCACATCCTGAGCCTTAAAACCAAAACACAGCAGGGCAGTGAAAGGGAGGGAAGTTCAGCAACCCATGGGAATGAAAAAGCCCCATTTCAGAACGGCCACCCAGATCACTCCATTCACTCTGTAGAGCCTCCACATGCCAGACAGCAAACTGGGGAGAAGGTATTTGAGAGAAATAGGACAGGACCAGCAAGGCCAAGGATGAAAACTGATGCCAGGATTTGACTGTAGTTCTGCCATCAGGCTTACGAGGGCTGTGCACAGCCGGATTACCAAGGGTAGGCAGCTTAGAGTTTGCGCTGGGTCAGACAGACAATGCCCACCATAAACCGAGCATCTGATTTGGTGGGACTGTGTTATTTCTTGCAAGACTTTGAGATCTATCTGAAAAATCAGTCAGAATTTACACCATGTCATCATTTACCACAACACTGCTCTACAACAGAGTTCATACGAACCAGAACAAGATCTCAGAGCCAAATCATTCCCAGGAAACTCAGAGAGCATCCTTCCTTCCACCAAGGCCAGAAAACAAACAACTTTGAGCCTAACACAGCGGTATGAGTCTTTCAGATTATCTATTTAACAAAGTACTGTTTTGCCACTGGCTTTTGCTGGACCACATGCCAATGGCATTCACTGGTCTATTTGACATGCCACAGTCAGATATATGCTGGCCCTCCAGCCACTTGGGGCAGTTTGGTTATATGACTCAGAGGTTGACAGAGGCAATATATCTTCTGTTAACAGAGGCGAGTGTAACACAATTCATAAGCAAAAATGAAACTAAGCAGGAAAGGAAGAAAATTAAAAAGAACTGTTGGCCTGATGAATATGTATCTGCTAACAACAGCACACTTTTCTAGCTGAGTGAGTTTAGCTGACTTTGGAATTCAATGAACTCCAAGGCCAGCACATCTGCAACAGAAATACAACCGACACGGTGATCCTACCCCACTGTTCTGGAGCACAGGAACAGCAATACATCACCGCAGCAGGGACAGGGACAGACTTGACAGGGCAGGGGACCTAGAAAGGTGGTGCAGAGCCAGAAGGCAGGGACAAGAGTGGGAGATCAGAAACAGTCAGTGCTTGACACTCGTGGCAGCTCCGTCTTGCTACGAGCTGCACCCACACCACCTGCCATGCTCTGGTCACTGTCCGGCTTTGGGTGAACAGGACTAGGATGGCAAACATTCCTGTTTCCCCACTAAGCTCTGGCAGCCAGCCAGACTGATCCTCTGCATGCCTGAGCTCCTAACGTGACTTGCACAGCAACGATCTCGACTGCAGGGGTGAACACACACAGGGAGGTGTTGTAACTACAGCAGGGAGGAGGTAATAGAGAATTCATGAAGAAACATTTCAGTAAGTTCCACTTCCCTGTTTTACAGCTCACAGAAATGGAGGCACATCAAGGCTTCCACCCACCACAGAGTCCATCCAGGCTTCTGTGGTACTTCCAGCGCTCCTCTCAGAACAGTGAAAACCTTCCAGGAGCTCCTCGGTGGCAAAGCAGCACTGTTAGCCCCAGCTTCTCCAAGGAGGTCCTGATGGACAGAAGGAATAAGGGCTGAATCTTCAAGGCCTGAATACCCAAGTGTTCAGGGCACTAAACACAGAGATGTGGGAGTATTCACAATTTTAAACTTTAGGGACCTAATTTGGGTCATCCACACAGAGCCTTGGGCTACAAAGCCAACATTCCCCTTGAATGCAGAAGCTGAACATCCCAGTTTCTCCACTGACCTGGGACACCTGAGTTCTGTGTCAAAGTGAGGATACCCCTCCTCCCCCAAGTAACCTAAAAAACCTTTGATAGTCCTCCCACCCCAACCATGGTGTACTACTCCCAGAAGTGCGAGGCTACATGCCATCTCCTAGTCCAGAGAGATGCCTCTGTACATGCCCAAGGCTCTCTGCAGACACTGAGTTGCATACCAAGATCTGCCTCATGGAGCAATCCCTTCCAACCTTTGGATTAACCTGGTTTGGGATTTGGGACAACAATGCCTACATTTATCCTGTCCTCAGGGGACAATTTCTCTTGCCACAAAACTGCCTTGTGCAAGCAAGTCTGCTTCAATATCCTTTCTCTCTCCACCCTGGGACCCGTCCCCATGAAGCCCGTGTCCCCAGCTAAGCCCTGTCCCCAGCAGCCCCTACACATCTAACAGGCAACAGGTAGCTGGACCCTGGCAGAGGCAGCAGTGACACCCTGCCTGCTGCTGGGTGCCAGGACTTGCGCCCAGCAGGACATCTCGGAGCAGCTCCTGGAGAGAAAACCATGCCTGCCTTCATCGTTGCAGAATACATTTGGAAAACAGCTCGCAAACAAAGGCAAGGCCCTGTCACCCCAGCCAGGACCCACTGTCCAAGGCTCCCTCTGCTTACAGGCGGGTGGCACAGAAGGCAAGAGAGCAGTATCACAGCTTTGCAACCTGCTCCAGCTGCCTGCTGCTCTTCACGTGGGGTATGAGACACTGCTCATGGCACAGAAAGCCCTAGTTGGCCTGGCCTTCTGCCACTCCCGCATCACCACTGCTGTCAGAAAGGGAACCAAAGCTGGGTCAGTGCCTGCGTGGTGTTTGTCTGACACTAGAATTTGATCTTGGCCCAAGATAATCCAAACTGAACATCAAAACAGTGAACTTCCACTGCACAAAAACCAGCTTCCGGGAGAACACGGCAAGTGTACCCCTCCAAACAGCGAGGGAGGGAAATGAGTCCCTGCAGCCATTATTCAGAGCAGCCAAGTGCCTGGTGAGACAATTTGCTCAACACTGCTGAGACCACAATGATTGCTGTGGTGTTGCTGGGATCTCTCTGTACAGTGCGTGAGGGAGCCTAAAGCTTTGAGCCAGTCTCATTTCTTCTTTTACAACCTAAACAGACGAGGCTGCAGCACACAAACACCCTTGCCAGGGATGGGTCTTGCCATGCTCCAGAAAGCCATTCAGTGATGCACCAAGACCCCGACAAGGGACATATCTCCATACATCTCAAGTGCCGCTGGAGCCCAAGGCACAGACAGATGAGACTCCTCTATGGCACCAGAGGAAACAAGCCTACAAACTAGTAATAAAACCCATCCTCTTCTATGGATCAGTACAGCCCTCTGGAACAATCCTAATGCAGCATTATTACTGGAGCCATGCACTCATATCCTCACTCCCAAGAAAACCTGCACCAGCAGTTAATAGACTCAAGTCTCTTGAGCTCCTGATACGAAATCACCATGCTGCAGGCTTCAGTGTATTTGGACACAAACTTTTGGCAGTAAGTCCACAGACAGCTTCCCTGTATTGTCAGTGAAGCTAGAAGCCAGAACATTTGACTCCAAAGGTGGAGGGCAAGAAGAAATAATCAGTTACATATTATTCTACTATTCCATGGCTAAAACAAATTCTTTAAAGATGCAACTATTCTGAAAAACATTTGTCATTTCTCCTGTCGTTACCATTGTATGTCAGACTATAAAACTAGAAAATATTCTGAGTTATTTCTCCTGGGAAATTAAAATAGGCTGTTGAAGAGGTTCTTCACGTTCCTGCTACCCCACAGGGGATAAAAGAACCGCTGCTTAAAAGGAAATGCTTCATTACTCACCCTTGCAGGCTACTGCTACATGTGTGCGAGCCTCAGGGCACCTCAGGAGCCAGTGGTCTGCCTGGGCTAGTGTGTTCTCTATGGGATGACAGTTGAGTCAGAGCATGGAAGACTACCCTGGACAGTAACCAGGACAGATATAAAACCATGCAGTACTGTGAACATGATACTGCAACACTTCTGGCCACAGACAGGCTGCAACTGGCAGGTGGCATAAAATACAGACGGTGGATGTATGATGATACAGCACAACCACTCCAGCTGTCCTACCCTGGCTTTGCTACAGCATAAAGCAAGGTGATATGGGAGGGGATGGCACACCAGGACTCACAGCTACAGAAGTGATCACTCTGCAAGAACCCAATCACAAATACATGCAGATCCTATTTCTCCTCTCTCAGCCCCTAAATAATGAGAATCTGCTAGATCTCCACCAGCCTGAATAAGAAAAAGCTGGTCTTGAAAAGCCAGGCACCACCAACTGAGTGGCCATATCACCTGCTTTGATTTGCAGAGGGGGAAGGCAACTCATGGAAAAGAAATCACTGCTCAAAGCAGTCAAAGACAGAGCTGGCAACAGAAATACTAAAATGACGCTCAAATTGCATCCTGTCAGCTCAGAGCACTTAAAAGAAAGGCAGTGCCAGAGCTAACATCTGCCTTTTTCCATAAATAACTGAACCCACAGGGAGCTGTGGGATGGACCACGGCTCCCGCTGGAGATGGTGCCTTCTGCCAAAAACCAAAGTGCTCTGCAGTAGCCTCTCATTTGGATGGGGACCCGCTTGGTTCCCCAGCTGAGGTGCAGATTTGCAGCAACAAACACCACTGATACCTCCTGGGCCAACCTCTGGATCAGCAACAGTAGCAGCTTCATAACCTGGATATCTTGACAACCACCTCCACGGGCTCAGAGTTCACATGTGAGACTGAGGAGTCACTACCAGGCAACTACAGGACAGTGATGACTTGCCAAGGTCAGCACAACAGTAACAAATCCTTGTCCTCCCTTTCCTCTGGTTTCCATTTCCAAGGAGTCAGCTCCCACGTGTCTGCAATGTGACTTACAGCTAAGCTGTGGTGAGGAGGATGCAGCAAAAAGCAAGGACTTTGTCCTTTGGTAGCCACCTGGGCCTCTATCACAGCTGCCTCTGCTGACATATCATGTGTAGTTGCAAAAATAAACCAAATTTGAGATGTGCTCAGAAAGTCAGAGTTACATAACAGCTTGTTTCCCACAGGCTTGGATGGCTGCTCAAAATGTTCATGGTCACATGGTAACACCAAAATCATTGCCTCCTCTTTTCTGTTGTTATTTTCATTAGTAAGTTAACCCTATACAGACTGAAGTGACCTGTTGCAGCTTCTACAGATTGCAACATCTGAAAATACTGGCAGCTAATGGTCCACTGGCACAGCAAAGCTTCTGCACAAACCCCGCAAAGCCATCCTGCCCAGAAGGCGTTTCCAAGACTACTCTCCCTCCACCAGCTTCCTAACCTCTGGAAGCAATTATTTCCTCCAGTCACTTTTTACAAGGGTTCCATTACTTCTGCAGCGTGCTCCCACACATCATGGGTGAGAAGTGGGAAGAAGAGAGCAGCCACTTTTGGTCTGAGGCAGCAAGGTCCCATCTCTGGGAAGCCTCTCCAGCAGATTTACATGGCAGTGCCACAAGGGTGTCTGCCCAAGCTAAAAGTCACAGGGCCGTCACCGGAGAGAAGGTTGTGGAAGCCAGCAGCAGTGGATTTTTTTGATTCTACATTTGATAATGAGGAGAAAAATCACAGAATCATTCAGGTTGGAAAAGACCCTCGGGATCACTGAGTTCAACCCTGAGCCCAACTCTACAAAGCTCTCCCCGACCCCACATCCCCCCACAGCTCCTCCAAACAACCCTTAAAGACACCCAGGGATGGGGACTCCACCCCTCCCTGGGCAGCCTGTTCCACTCTCTGACCACTCTTTCTGTGAACAATTTTTTTCCTCATGTCCAGTCTGACCCTCCCCTGTTGCAGTTTCAAGCTGTTCTCCCTTGTTCTGTCACTAATCACCTGTGAGAAGCGACCAGCACCAACCTCTTTACAGTGTCCTTTCAGGGAGCTGCAGAGAGTGATGAGGTCTCCCCTCAGCCTTCTCCTCCTCACACTGAACACTCCCAGCTCCTTCAATGGCTCCTCACAGGATTTACTCTCCAGGCCCTTCCCCAGCCTCGTTGCCCTCCTCTGCACTTGCTCCAGCCCCTCAAGATCTCTCTTGTATTGAGGTGCCCAAAACTGGACACAACACCCCAGGTGTGGCCTCACCAGTGCAGAGCACAGGGGACTGTCACCTCCCTACTTCTGCTGGTCACACTATTTCTGATACAAGCCAGGATGCTGTTGGCTTTCTTGGCCACCCGGGGAACACTGCTGGCTCATATTCAGCTGCTTGTCAGTTAGAACCCCCAGATCCTTTTCTTCTTCTACTTACTACCATTTGATGTAGACACCCATATGCCAGGGGGAAGATAGACACAAGCAAAACTCTGAATATGAAACTGATTGTTCCATACATAACAAAATTAATGGAAATCAAAGACTGATAATGCTAGACAACACAGAAGGGGAGAGACTCATGCAGTAGTCCACTTATATTCAGTCCTAGAGCAAACTGCCTAACATGAACATAGTTATTTACGAAAGGATTCCACTCAAGACTTGAGGCCAGGCTACACTTTATGTCTGTACATAACTACGTGGAGTACCAGGACTCAGTGCTGTGGGCAGCCAGGCTTCTGGACCTCACCTTAGCACGCTTCAGGAGCTCAAGAGCAGGTTAAGCTCGTTGTGGAGACATAGTCCAAATGTAAAGAAGCAGGACACACTCCAAAGCCAGCTCTGACACACCACAGGGTGCTCTTAATGCTCAGCTGATCAGCTCCCACTCTCTACAATATTGCTACTGCTCTGACAGAGTCTCTTGGTCACATCATGCTGCTGTCAGCTACAGTGGTGTGAAACTGCAGTTGTGCTGACACTAGTGGCTCTCAGCCTTATATGAGATACAGGAGTAACCAAGAACATGATTCCCTTCCTTAAAAAAAAAAATCATTAGTTTCACCTATTTTAAAAGAAAGAAGAAGTTGAAATTATTCTATGATTTAGTCCAAGATGAAAAGGGATTTTACATTGCTCGGACAGTGAGCATTCTTCATCTCAGGCCACGCAAACAGGGCTCTGGTTGATTGAAGGACATGGGGTTTTGCTTGCATAAACAGAAAAGCAACAAAATTTCTGTACCTATGTGCAATAGAACTCAGAAAGTCTGTTTAAATCTGCCAGTCTTGTGTCCAGGCTCACCAATGACACTGGAAGGGAGATTCAGCGATGGCATAAGCCATGGTATGTCTGTGATCAAACCCGGGCTGAGTTTGGCCTCCTTTCCACAGAGAACTGTTTCATTCCTCAGGTCAATATGCAAACTGACAGTGCTCTAATATCCTTTGTTAATCCCCACATGCTACATGTGAGGTGTGCCCTTACTCATAATAATTGATAGCTCTGAACAGTGTAAGGACACTTATTAAGTGCCTTAATTTATAGTCCTTGCAGCAGAGCTCAGCTTTAGGCAGGCTCTTGCTCTCTGTTAGAAGCCCACAGAAATACTTTTTGCAACAAGCTCTCCCAGCCTCACTAGAAACCTGGTGTTTTCTTTCGGCACATCAAGCCAGCTGATGCAGGGACCTGCCAAGTGACCTCAGCCAGGGAGGAGAAGGAAGGGAGGTTCTCAGCTATCGCTTATCAGCAACCTAAAGGTGAACACATCACTGGAGAAAAGCATGGAGTCTCCTGGCGCCTTTGCCTGTTGGTTCTGGAAGGTGTGGGAAAGAAGGGAAAGGTCTTCTGGGAGAGCGGGGTACACCTTGCACTCCTTCAGACAAAGATCAAGCTCGTCCTCTTTCTGCCTCTGCAGCCTGCAGCCACGGGGAGAGACAAACCAAGCAGATATTTAATGAGCAACATATCTGCAGAGACCACCGTGTAAGCGCAGGGGCAGCAAAGTGCGCGGGGAGGAATAGCAGCTGCTCAGCAAGGGGCTGACCTCAAGCCACAGGGTCCCACATGGATCAGATTATCACTTGTTGTTCGCTGGCACAGCATGTAGTTTTACTCCATGTTTACAAGCTCAGAAAAGTTTGTGCAAGCCAGCAGCCCTAAAACCCTGGCTCAAAGCCTCTGCCACAAATGATGGAGAATTCACCAACCACCCCAACTGGCTTTTCCTACCACAGAGATGCTTGGGGGAGGCAGATCAAGATGAAGGAGCACCTACTGCAGGGCTTCACTGGCAAGGGGAAAACACAGCTGGGTTTCAGCTGCAGGCTACTGGCATCACTCTTTTTTTCTTCCCTTTTGGACCTGCAGGGATAAGCAAGCTAAATATGCTCCCTGTGCCCTATGCTGCCTTCCACCAGAGGATCCCAGAGCACTGTAGAAGCAAACTAATGAATTCAGGCAGCACATCACTTTGATGAAATTAAGGGCTTTATATGCATGAAAACAGAGGCCCTGAGAGAGAAGGGACGTTGCCTGGCATCACCCACTAAAGAAGTCTGGACCAGCATCTCTGAATCCAAACCCTTTCGTCTAGCCTTGAACCACTTTCTGTTCTTCCTCTTTTTGGCCTTCTCTGTAGGGCTTTAATGCAGTTAATCTCTCCCTTACTTGGTAGCTGTAGCAGAAATCATTCTAGCATTTAAAGATCACAACCAGGAGATAAGGGAGCACTGCTACAGAGCAGTTGCTTCTTAACTGGCATATTGCTGTCCCCCCTTCACGCTCCAGTCCCCAGCTATGAAGAACCAGCAAGTGACAACTCTGGGGGGATGAGAAGAAGGCTCCATATGTAGCAAATTGAGGCAATGGAGTATAAACAAGATAGTGATCATCACCCAGCTAAATTCAAATACAGTTCGAAAGGAAATACAGTCATGGACATTACTAGCTGTACACAGACAGAGCCTCGGGCAAAGGCTGGCACCAGCACCAAAAATACTTGCTTTGGCTCACCCCCCCTGGAGTGCAGTGGGAAATATTTCTCCATAGCTGACCTACAACGCTGTGCATTCTTCCAGCCACCAAGATGAGCGACCCCCAACTCAACCTCCATCAGCGGACAATAATTCCACCATTACATCCCAGAAAGTCCTGCAGGAGGGAGACACAGCAAACCCCTGGATAGACTTTCTAATGATCCAGGTCTTCTGGGGTCACAGCCCAGAGCAGGGTCCTGGACTGCCTCCTCTCATGGAAAAAGTCCTCTCTGCTCTGAGATCTCAAAAGCTTCTCTGACAGCAGGACAGTGGCCTTGGAGCTATGACCATCCCTGAGATTGCAAGTAGGAAGAACAAAACGTCCTGGTCAGAGTCTAGGACACAAACTGGCATCGGATCAAATGTAATTGGAAAAGAATCAGACTGAAGGTAACTGTGTGAAAACCTGGTTTGTTCTGATGGGAAAGAGAATCACTCAGGGACCAATCTGAGACAGGCAGGTGGGAAGAGACAGTAAAGGAATGGTTCAGGCAAGTGCCAAGAGAAGGTAATGAGATTTAACACACTGAGCTTGCACGGAAGTCACACACTGTAATTAAAAATAGAGAACAGTGGAAAACTAGTTTTCGCCTTCAAGGCATTTCTAACCTAATTACATTGAACTTTATTTGCTCAAAAGCCCCTAAAAAGCGCTCCAGTTTAAGGCAGTTTCCTGATCAGCTATGGGTTCACGCTAACTCCTATACACCTATATACCCATGCAAGTCTGAGAAGTCCCACAAGGATTCCCTAAACCACCCAAACTTTTAGGTGTCATTTCCAATTCATCCCCCCGGGTTCTAAGTGTTTCTCTGCTGCTTGAAATGGGAATTTCAAAGCTTCACCCTTTGAAGAACCTGCCCCATATCTCTCAGCACCATGAAGACACAGGCTGCTGCAGCCCAAACGTGCTCTGTCCTGTGCTGCCCTACCTTCCCTGCAGAACCCTTCACCTCCAAATTCTCCCCAGTCTCTGAGGAAGGGCAGAAGTACCTTGTTTTGCTGGAAACCAGAACAGCACAAGGCAATTCAACATCTTACAGGAGGATAAGCTGTTTGGGGCTCCCACAAATGCAAATTTGCTCTCTGAGGAAATGCAGTCATTGCAATCAACCTTTCCTCCCCAAAACACAATCCTCAGCTGGAGTATGGATGGAACTGGAATGGGAGGCACTGGGCTCCATTACCCTAAAGCCCAGGACACATAACCTGATGCCATGGATGGTTTACTTGTCCTAAACCATTCAAAAGCACCAACACCCCTTGAGACCATACATTACTTTTACCCTTGAGCACTGTATCTTACTGAAATGAATGCTTCAAATGAACCTCAGCTTCTCATGATCCTCCCTCTTCCTGAGTAACAGAAGCCAACAACAAAAGTCCACTGGACTATGTTTTCACTCCGATTGTGAATCACCACAGATCTGTGGTTTGACAGCGTGAGGTAATCCTGGCCAGCCTGACGCTGACATCTACAGCTGCTCCATAAAGGCTTGTGTGAGTGTCTTCACCTGGAAAAAAACCAAAGGGGAGTCTTTGCTCATCTCACTTGCTAATGGGAGTACGAGGAACAAAGCAAACCACCAAGTAACAAAGTGTTACAGCTTTTAGCTGTATTAGCAGTCCCACAGAGCAGCACATTTAACGCATCCTGATAGTTGCTTGTGTACAGAATGAGGATGTCCTAGGCACCACCTTCAGCACCTTATTTCTGAGTGTGTTTGTAGAGATTTATCCCCAAGTGAGATTTTTCAGATGTGCCCAGGTGGCCTTTGGGTTGCCATTCCACTCAGGTCACAGGGAAGTCTGCATCCATGTCATTCAGGTGACTCTGAGGAGTCCCACCTCAGTCACAGCTTGCCCAGGGTCTCCTATAGACACACCACCAGCATTGTGTCTCTCCTGATCCCTTGCTGCTGACAAGCAAAGATGCCTGGGGGCATGTGAACAGAAAAGAGAGGTTGGGAGGAACAAGTGACAGCTCAGGGCAGGATGGGACACAGAAGAGAACTTCAGTGTGCTGTAGAAGCAGTATCCTCACTTGCTGTGTGTTTGTGAAGACGTGTCAAAACGAGACTGGTGGGGCACAGCCTACCCCAATCTGCCCATTACAGCCCTGCAAGTCCATTTCCTCAGCCAGGACCCTGTTGCTTATACCTGAGTCTGCAAGTCTACACTGCATCTTCCCAAGCCATTCAACGACCAGAGTGAGAGTGTCTTTGCTTTCCACCTCAGACCCAGCTGAAGAGGCGTATCCCTGGCTGTGCACATCAACTGACCAATGCCTGGGGCCTTGCTACAGTACATGCCAGCACATCACCCTCCCAAACAGACTCCCGCCAAAGGCTCCCTCATTTCCAGAGCTTTCAAACCTTCATTATTCCCAACCAAGTAACTCCTGGCAGTCAACTGAGTTCAAACTTCAGTACGAAGCCCACTCTTGCTCTTGCAGGCAAGTGTTTCCCAGGTGAGATGCAAACAGCAAACATCAGACACGCTCTCTAGAAATGGCATTTCTATGGAGCGGTGGTTAAAGCCTCAGAGCCAGCCCCAACAGACAAGTGCAGCAACTCAGCCATACCCTGGAGAGCATCCCTCTGCAAAAGGCAGAGCCTCCTCCTCACCACACAGGTCACAGCAAAGCAGCCAGTCGATGAACCTGCCCTTAAAGTGCTACTGTGCAACAACACAGGGAGACCGCTGGATGTGTGCTGGTGCACTCCTGAAATCCTAAACCAGACACAACACAGAATTGCATTCATTCTGGGGAAAAAAAAAAAAAAAAAAAAAAAAAAAAAAAAAAAAAAAAAAGAAAAAAAAAGAAAGCCCCCTCTTTGAAGTGGTACTGGGGAATGAAGCAAGACTCACCCTTAAAACAGTACATGCCTAGAGTCATTCATTCATCTCCACACATGGAGAATTCAGCCTTCATGCCTGTATAGCCTCAATTTCTCTGCTCTTAAGGGAGTTTGGAGTGGTAGGGATTGTGGCCAAAGATGAGTTACGTTGTGAGGACAGCAGCAATGCTTACAATGACTGGACAATCTACTTTCTATACTGGACAACTTAGCATACAAAAATAACTGACATTCATGAGAGTTACAGAGGCAGGTATGCTTTATAAGCATTGCCTCTCCCTCCACTGAATCCTTGGCATACATTGGCAAGCACAGGAGCCAGGACCCAAGAATGGGAGACGCGCACAGTGCTTTGAGCTCAGGTTTATGGAAACAAGAGCTAATGCTCTACAGTGATCAAGAAAACAAACTACTACAAAATAAACAGCATGAAAACTATCTAAAACTGTCTAAACCTACAGCCACATGGGTCTTGAAATATTTGGTATAGTTCTGATCTCAGAAAAAAAAAGCTGAAGCATTTGTAATTAAATAGAGAAAGGCAGAAAGAACAATTAAAAGTATGAAGCAGCTTTTGTATGAAGACTGAATAGGATTCCTCATTCTAGAAATCACATGAGAGATAGATGGGAGAGGTTTGTAAAAGCGTGAATGGCCTGGGAAATGTGAATAAGGAAAAATTGGTCACGATTTGTCATAAAACAGGAACCTGAGGGCCTGAAACAATGCTGTTAGAAACTACACAAAAGTGGTAATACTTTTCCAGGGAGCATTCCTTCCTTTGGAACACACTACCACAGGAGGCCGTAGTGGCTAACAGCTGTAAATCCAGAGAGCAACTGGACAAATTCTTAGAAGATAAAGCCATCAGAAGCTATTAAGCAGTGATGAGAATAAAGCCTCCAGCACAGAAAAATGCTAACTCTAGAGCCCACGAGGGAAAAAGCATATGCACTGCCTGTTTCTACACAATTTGCGATACATCCCCTATTGCTGCTCTCCCAGGGAGGAGCTGGGGACACAGCCACCCCGCGCTCCCAGCTGCAGGCACCGAGGACTCATCTGAAGGCTGGAGGGTTTTCCGGAGCACCTTCTACCACAGAGAGCATTTGGCATCGTGCTGAATACAGAAACCCACAAATTGCTGGGGTACAGGAGAACCTGCACAGCTGCCAGTGAGTCAGGAGGAAGCCACGGATCTGTCTGCCAGGCCGATGAGCTGACACGGAGAGCAGCCCTGCCAGGTTGGCCACAGGCGGCTGCAGGCTTCATGTCCTGGGTGTCAAATTAGATGTGACATTTCAGTTAAGACTTTTGGTTGTTTAATATATAAGTTTAAAAGAATACACACCCCCCCGAACTGTAACATCAATGAAGCACTTGACAGGGTAATGTCCGTGGCGTGTGGTTTGGGATGCCTGGCTGCCGTGAAAGCACATTTACTGAATCTAGATGCGTCTGCCCCATTGTTATTTACGCAACACAATCTTATTACAGGCTGTCAAATCTCTCATTCTTACATGCTTTTGAGACGTTTCCTACAGGTGGCAGGACACAGTTTTCACTCTGCACCCCGAACAAAGCAATGTCTGAACTTGAAATTAAAAGCTAGACTTTTTATAGAGCAGTAGAGGAGATGCTTTGGGTTGTGCACTCCTGAGCGGTGCTCTTTGACACAGCAGAAAAACCACTGTGTTTTATCCCAGCATCCATCCACATGGCTACAGACACAGATATCTAAGCACATCACGATAACTTTTCACTATCTTGAAGTGAGAAATCTAGCATTGGGTCATCCTCTGTGGGGCTCCTCTTGTGCAGGAAAACAGACAAAGAGAGAATTTACAGAAGAGCTAAAATATCTTTCTGAATTCTTCTAATGCTACATGATATCCTGGTGCCAGAGGGAATAGTTGTCAGAGCAGTACAAATTGTGCTTAAATAGAAAGACAGTTTGTTTAGCCTGAAATAATGGCTCAAGGAATGGGTGAGCAAACCCTTGAATAAGATTTCAAAACAAATTTCAGGTTTTATGAAGAATGCTTTGCTTAGTATTCAACAGCTAGTACTTTCTTACATTGATTACTGCTCTAACATTAGGAAGCTGGTAGCCAGATTGATTAGGCTAAGTAGAAACAAAACAGCACCTTGCTGCATTTCTTCTTCACTGAGACATATTCTTCCTCTATCCCTGTGTCTCCCTCTTTGCTGAATTTGGATTTTAAATCTTTATAGGTGTGAATGACAGTCAAATTTGGAATATTTAGGCAGCATGGAAAACAAGTGTAATTTCATTTGTCCAGTTTGTCAGAAGACTCTGCCATGCTCTCATCTCTTCTATGAACACAGCTGGAGAGAGGCAGGTCTTGCTACTTTTCCACTGAAAATACAAGCAGAAATGCAATGAAAGCAAAGCTCTTCAATCAAAAGGATGTTACTCTACCTCCATATCGCTCTATAAGAAGTAATTCTTTTGCTCCTGCTACTATCATACCCAACTGCCTCCCCACTGCCACCATATCTTTGTTTTTCAAATGGCATGCAGAGGTCTCTGTTACCACTTCACCACTGGAGAAGCAAGTCACTTCACCAGGCTGAGTGATCTCTGGAAAGCTGGAGAAGTCACCTACAGCCTGATCCAGCCCCCCCCCCCTTTTTGCTGCATCTCCCACAGAGCTACCCCTAGATCAGAGTCAGGAGCGCTGCTCTCAGCTGTTTCACTGTCAGGAGGCTGATGGCTTCACCTACGAGGTGTGCTGAGCCTCCGGAGGCCTGAGAAATGCCACCGTCCATCCCCACGCTTGCATTTCCAGCCCCAGAGCAAAGCGTAGAGCAGCAACAGTCATTTTAAAGTGCTTCTCTGAGGCAATGTTCACAAGCTGCCTTCAGACATCATTAAACCATCACATTATTTACTCCAGACGTTTATAAACCTTACCACTAAATAACTGCTGCACAGGTGTTTCTAAATAACCATTCCCAGGCTACAACAAAGCTCAGAGTATCCTCATCATAACTGTTGCCACAGTTACTGCTGTTAGTGGTCAAAGTCTCCAGCACGGCCCAGGCATCAGCAAAGCACCCACTGAGCCCACACAGCACAGTGCAAGAAGAGGGCTTCTACCCTAAAGGCATTGCAAGGAGCCATAAAACAACAGATGGGGATGAAAAGGGAGGTGGAAAGCCATGACCAGCCAGCAGTGCTCTACAGGACAGGTTGCAGGCTCTTCAGACATCTCTCCTGCACATTAAGTCTTCTCACTTTCAGTCATGCTCCTCATTATGCATCTGTCTGTAACGGAGCACCCACAGCATTCCCCATTACCTCCTCTGCACCGTGCTTAGGAAGGTCTGCTTGCCTTGTTCCAGGATGAAATGCTCCAGCACAGGAATATCTGCGTGCCAGCACGGAGGCTTTGTCCTGCCCAGCATGAAGGAGCTTCGCAGAATGTATTGAAAAGGACAATGAAACCGTTGGATGATGAAAGACAGCGCTGCCGCGTATCCGGGATGCTGCGGGCTATTTTTAATCATTATTGCTACTCCAGTAATGATACGCTGGGGTACCTGACTGGCTGAAACATTGCTTTTGGCCCATGGGGAAAATGGTGCAAGAACTTTCATTCTGATTGCCTGGCAAAGACATGCCCAGC